TTTTGAAAATAAATTAACATCACATAATGTTTCCTATGTTGAATATGTACAATGTTATGAAAATTCCAAATATGTACCATCCAGTGACACATTCTTAACAGAACGTGGAGTTAAATTACTTCGTGAAAAACATTATTCGGAAATAGTTAATTCGGAAAATTTTATTCTTCAAAACGAAAAAGATTTTCGTGAAGGTAATCGTTCTTTGCTTATTCTTTTACTTTCCTGTGATATTCTGTTCTTCATGGACAGTTGCAAATTTGTTAAAGTTTTTACATTGCTGTAAAATCTATGGAATGTAGAGGTGTGATATAAAAGTTTGAATGAATTTTCAGAAGTCCACACACTTTAATCGAAGTTGAGTTGTATGTAATTCCATATAAGCATATTAGCTCACATGTTATCTCAGATCGTTGGTCATGCTTACTACTTCGACGTACATTTATCTGGCTGTTCTCTTTAGGAATGCAGACAGGTTTATCTGACGCGGCAGGATGCCCAAGTGACCCCTCTGATTCCAATGCTTTGTGTATGGGTAGATAGATCACAGTGAGGTAGTAAATACCCTAAGTGGATACGGTTCCATGACTCTTCAAGACCTGGTTTTCTGGAAAACCAGTTTTTCTGAAACTCTAAAACATAAGCGAAATCTTTTGTTAATGAGGCATAGTTGTAGCACGGAAATTTGAGAGTAAAATGAGACTCCCGGCTCTACATTACCTTTCTTTGCAAGGTTATAGAATTTACAAGCACAGCTGTAAATGTTCATGGTCAGCTCAAAGCTAACTTACAGAAATAAGAAGGAATTAATTTAGGGTTCTTGTAAATTTCTTAACTTTGCAAAAAAAGGTCATGTAGTGGTGGGAGATGTCTTATTTTAATCACAAATTTACGAGCTACAATTATGCCTCATTAAGAAAAGGTTTTGAATATTTTTTAGAGTTTTTAAAAAACTGGTTTTCCAGAAAACCGTGTCTTCAAGAGTCATGGGTCCGAAACCTTTTAGGGTATTTACTACGTCACTGAGATCTATCGAGCCTTATACAAATAATTGGAATCGGAGGGAATTAGTTGGGAATGTTCCCTCGGGAGTCACCTAAGGTATAAAGTTAATTTCTTTTTAGTGATCGTTAATAGAACACCGTGTGCTAAAGAAGGAAATAAAACAAATAAAACAAAATCAAGTACTATCGCAGAAGTGGTTGATTATAATAGTGGAAATTCTACGATTAATCTGCTAACACCAAAATTAGCTAGAAGCCCAACCACAATCGTACCTACTATTCCTACAGGTCAATCTTCTCGTCAACTATTTCTAGGTAAAGATCACGTACATCTAAGTCACAGAACAGTTGTAATTTATTTTTGTTTTTTAATTAGAGAGGAGTCTATCCCCTTCAGCGCCTTTATCTGTAAATGAAACCGTTTTTGTATCAGCTTCATCGTCAAATCCAAACATGACAATTAAACGTGGACTTCATAACCCCAGAAACAATTTATTATCAGGTGAAGCTTTATGCTGATCACGTCGCCTATAAAAATGTCTTTCATTTCTATTGGTTTACTGTAGAAGTACTTGATACTCAACAGCATCGTTTACCTGTTACTGCACAATACTCAGATGAATTAGGTAATTTAAATTGAATTTTTACATCTTTGTAGCAATTTGGCAAACTAATGTTGATAGTTCCTCACAACGTCGGGTTGTTCTTTCCGCCGTTAATATTTTTCCACGCAGAAACGTGACGATATGCATACTTACTATAACACGACTTCGATAATGGGTCAGCATGATAAGTCATTGTTGCTGATTTCGATAATAGTGTATGACTAATAAGGAAAACAGAAACGTATTTTTTTCTTTTATGAGCAGGTAAAACAGCATATAAACGCAAGTGAGGTAAGAGAAGAAGTGGTTAAAATAAGAGACATCACTAACCGCTACACGCAACGTGTAGATTCTGTGTGCCATTTAGGTGCGCTTTAGATTGAGGGTTTTCTGTGACAGTTCGTGAGCATCAGCCAAATTTCAACTTTCTTAAATGACTGATATCAGTTTAAGAGTAAGTTACGTTCTGTGCAATTCATGGAAATTTTTGTGCTACTTTTATTTCAATTCTAGAGAGAAGTTACATAAATTTTTCTGATCTAAACGTATTAATTGTATAGTTTGTTTTTAGTAGCTGCGCAAAATGGTGATTCGGACTCATTTTCATCATCCATGCCAGAATTAGGTAAAATGTTTTGCTTCATTTTTTCGAGCAATTCTAGGATAGAAATAGAAATATAATTGCTCGAATCATCTAATAGATGATTCGTTAAGACTTTTTATGTTTCACTTATTATTTCAGAAGGTGATATTTTCAATATATCGGAAGTTCTTTCGGCATTATTACATGGAGTGGAAGAAAATGAAAAAGGAAATGATGATCGGCAAAATACGCATTCGAATAATCGAACTGGAATTATTCTTCCGCCGAATAATAGAGATATAGGTAAACATCCTTCCTGTATGGTTATCATTCATGTTTTGTTGGAAGAGTGAAGATAAAAAACAATAATTTTTCTGAGAAACATGAAAAAACTAAATAAAATGTTGAATTGTATGCCAAATTTCATGTTTATTCTCACTTCAAAATTTCTTTTAATCCTGAGTGTAAAACAGTACAGAAAACTAATTTTACCATTTTAGTAGGCTAAATTGGGGTCTATATTCTCAAAAGACGAGGATACCTGTAAAAAAGCTTCCTGTGCATCTTGGGAGTCTATCCAATTTTCTTGTTTGAGAAATAAAGATTTTTAATAGTAGATTATAATCAAAGTATCTATGGGAGAAATCTGACAGATAGGCTTTGGAAAATATTGCTCCGTAGGTGAACAAAACAAATTTTTCTTTGACAGAATTAGCTCGCTGAATAATCCAAGCAGTCCATACAATCTGAAACGCGTAATTTTTAATGCTGGTTGTAGATATGAGGTCAGTTTTTTTTTTCGTTTGCGTCGAAAACCGAATCGAATGATATATGTCTCAAACTTTTTCGTTGATTTTCATTTTTTCGTGAAAATCTCAGTAATTCGTGGACGTAAAAATTCGGAAAAAACAAAGGTAGTCGGATAGGGTAAAAAAGTATATCATTCGATTCGGTTTTCGACGCAAACTCCGAATATGATATTTTTATTGCATAAAAAATGAGTTCTGATGGAGAAAATAG